CTCCCAGAATTCCCCAGCCAGCCATGCTGGCTGGGGGATTCTGGAAGTTGAAGTCCACACACCTTAAAGCAGCCAAGGTTGAGAAACACTGCGTAAGAACATAAGGCATAATTAAATGAGGTTCCATTGAAGTCCACGCATCTTCAAGTCGCCAAGGTTGAGGAACCCTCTTTAAATTGTGTGTAGGTGCCTTTGAGCCAGTCTTGACTCCTAGTGACTGCCTGGATGAGTCAATCAAATCAAACCTTTCTTAGCAAGGTTTTTTTGGAAGTGGTATGCCCTGGCTTCCTTCCTAGGGCTGAGAGAGAGGGCCTGGCCCAAGGTCACCCAGCTGGCTTTATGCCCAAGGCAGGACTAGAACTCAGAGTTTCCCATTTTCTAGCCTGGTGCCTTCACCACTACACCAGACTGGCTCTCTTGAATGCTTTAAAAGATGACCATAATTTATAAAGCCATGGTGTTTGATTCCGATGATTACGAACTCTTGTCTCATCCCATCTTCTCTTTTCTTTGCACTGTTAGGAATGAGGATCGGGAGCGAGTCTGGAGGACATCACGAGACACCAAATTGGAGACCTTTCCAAACTGTGAATCCTGGTGAGTTACCTTTTGGTAGCACTTGAGAAGCGTTTCTGCTTGGCTGGTTGCATTCACACCATGCGCTTGACCTGGCTGCCCACTGGCTGCGTTCACACAACACACTTAACTAGGTCAGTTGAAGATCTGGCAGATGTGTTTGCACAACATGCTAAGCTTTTACTGCATCTTGACTTCGTGAATCACCCAGAGTTGTTGGGAGTTGGGCGGTCTACAAATAAAAAATAAAGCTTGGTTGGTTTGAATCAGGGTTAGGGTTATGCTGCGTGAACCCAGCCTGTTTGGTCGGTTGAAGTGTATTGTACAAACTCAGAAAAACTAGGTTTATTCAGTAAGAGATTAGGCATATTGCATGAACACAGCCATCATTTTGGTCTGCACAATACTTGGAAGTGTAAACTAACCAACAGAGTAGGTCTGCATAGCATGCAAAGCCTAGCCCAGATTAAGTTGTGTGAAGGCAGATGCACAAAATCCTCTATGAATCTAATCAAGTGTGTTATGTAGCCATCACTTGCACACTGTATAAAGTACTGTTTATACCAGTGTTTCTCAAACTTGGCAACATTGCTGGCTGGGGAATTCTGGGAGTTGAACTCCACACATCTTAAAGTTGCCAAGTTTGAGAAACACTAGTTTATACAGGTAGTTCTTGCTTAATGACCACAATCGAGACTGGAATTTAGTCACATGATGATTTGTGGTCATTAAGCAAATCATCATGTGACTGGATCCAATTTTACAACCTTTTTTTGTGGTGGTCTTTAAGCGAATCACATGGTTGTTAAGCAAATTACATGGTTGTTAAGTGGATCACACAGTTCCCCACTGATTTTGCTTGCTGGAAGCCAGTTGGGAAGGTCACAAATGGCGATCATGTGACCCCAGGATGCTGCAACTATCATAAGTGTGAGCTGATAAGTGCCCGGATCGCGATTACGTGACCACGGGGATGCTACAACGGTTGTAAGTGCAAGGACTGGTCATGGTTTTTAGCTTTAGTAACCTCGAATAGTCACTAAACAAACAGTCATTAAGCAAGGACTACCTGTACCAACCTTCCCCAGGATTGGGGAAGAAAGGGCAGAGCTTTTTCACTAGTAGCCTCCATATAATTCTCTCCTAGAAAGAATTATAATAGTACAATTATAATAGTAATTATTATAGTATATTATAGTATAGTATAAGAATTATAATAGTATAATTCTCTCCTAGAGAGATCCAAGTTGTTGGCACTGGAGAAGCTAGGAAATGGCCATTCTTCACCAGTGAACATTTGGGGAGTTAATTTTAGTTTTCTGCAATTCCACTGAGGTTGCCTGGATTTTTATAGTTAAATTTATTTTTATGACAGTTATATAGTTTGAGGAGCGTTTTATTGGATGTTTTGATGGATTGATCTTTTATGTTGTTAGCTGCCCAGAGGACTCCTTTGGACCTGTGTGGAAGAGAAATCAATCCCATAAATAAAAGATATATTCTACACTCGAGACCTAACCCAAGAGATGCGCTTTCGAAACTAAAGTGACTAAATTTCATCTACTTGAAATAAACAGAACTTCAAAGTACAAGGAGTCCCCAGGTTAAGAACATCCGGTTTACGGATGACCCATAGTTAAGAACGGAGCCTATTGTAGCAAAATTCGAGTTAAATACACAATGATTCGAGTTAAACACACAATGGTTCGAGTTAAATACACAATACTACTTATACAGTATTATACAATAATACTATTCCGCCTTACGTACAAATTCGACTTAAGGTCAGATCTTGGGAACAGAACTCATTCTTAAACTGGGGACTCCCTGTACTTGACTTGGATCTACTTAAGGGAGGAAATTAAGGGTGGAATTAGAAAGTAGTACTTTAATAACTTCTCTCCCCTGTTCATGCTCCAAAAAAGAATGCATGCTGAACTTTTGGAAGACAAAAGCCAATGCTGAAGACAGTCATGGAAGGGAGAAACAGGGCAGTGGGTTTTTTACTTGTTAGATACACTTCCTTATTTCACTGTATGATGGGAGTTTGTTATTGCTAAAAGCTAAGGAGATATTATTTCTAGGGGTGTGCAATAGTAGGATGCAAAATGGGCCAAGGTACATTAGAATTGACAACCTTGCTGTGGTCACATGGGGTCCAGAAAATACATGTATAACTTAAGGAAGGAGCAACAGAGCAGTAATATGCAATTGAACTATCACCATCTGTCTAACACCTCCTGAACTCAAAAGTGTTTCCATGAGCCTACATGCTACCATGCAAAGCCAGGGAAAAGCATGGCTTCCTTGATGTCAGCCTTGCGAGGTAGTCCAGACAAGAGGCACACCCAGAAGTACTAGCTCTAACTTTATTGTAAGGTGACATTAACAGAATCTTGCAAGTCTGAGAGTAACTCTCTCCCCCCTCACCTTTACAGTTCAGAAAACTAGGAAGGGACCCTTCTGAGATGTTTGCCAGGCCCCCATTCCTTCTTTGGGTTCAGCTGCCTCTTATCTGACTGTTGCCTCGTCTGTGGCTCTTCCTCCTGTCTCCCAAGGTCATTCCCACATACTTTTACACTTAAGGAGCTGCCCACAGGTCTAGTGAGGTGCTCACAGTAGATCTAAGCACTGCACACACCTGATTATTTCTTTACCTCCACTGCAAATTTTGATTTTGCTCTGATTTCCCTTTTGTGAAAGGTTATGGGAATAAACACTACTTCTTCCCACCAGATTTGGACGTGGTTGATTATGCAAGCCATGTTCTAGGTGCAAAAGATCTCAGGTTTCTTCTTTTACGAAGGATTTTAGAAAGCAAGAAACTTTCTACCACCTGTGAAAAGCTGGAAGGTACTCAGCTAATGCCAGATGACGCTTGGTTCTAAAACTCTGAAATCTGGTTTAAAATCTGTGTTTTTAGCTTTGTTAGGTTTTTGGTGGCTTGGGGTGCTGTGTCCCTGACACTATAGAGATCAAAATAAGATCAGCAGTGTTTCTCAATCTTGGCAACTTGAAGATGTGTGGACTTCAACTCCCAGAATTCCCCAGCCAGCCTGCTGGCTGGGGAATTCTGGGAGTGAAGTCCACACGTTTTCAAGCTGCCAAGGTTGAGAAACACTGCTGTACAGATTGTGTAAGAATTACTGAGATCTCACTCCAGGAACTCATCTCCTCCTCCTCCTCTTCTTCCCACTGTGATTCATTCTGCATTGCTTTGGTTCTGCTGGATCATGGCCCCTGTGGCTTCAGCACCAAACCTACCACTGAAGAAGTCAAGGGCTGGTCCCAGTCGTTTGACAAGTTGATGAAAAACCCAGCTGGCAGGAACGTGTTTCGGGAATTCTTACGGACTGAATACAGCGAGGAAAACATGCTCTTTTGGTTAGCTTGCGAGGAACTCAAAAGCGAGTGCAACAAACATGCCATCGATGAGAAAGCGCGGATGATCTATGAAGATTACATCTCGATCCTTTCTCCCAAGGAGGTATTTCCTTTCATATTTCATTCCAAAATGTTTCAGGGCAATTTCAGATACCAATTTTAATTCAACAGGTAATCGGTAGGCATCAGGCCCCTTCCCCTTAGTCTCCACTTGCAGCCTGGAAACTTTTCCAGGGTTTTCCCACTCAACCTGAAGAACAAACTCCCCCATGTTTGATAGTATGATTATTTATTAATTTATAAATACATTTATAATTTACATTTTCAGTCGATGTAAAGCTAAATCGGTTTATCTGAATGCACCTGTTTGCTTTTCAATCCTATGTCCCCAACGGTATAAATTGTTTAATCAAATAAATGTTTAAAAACCTGCAACGGATGCAAAAAACCAGGCTGAACATTTCAGCCGGTGCCCCTTCTTGTGATGTCACATTAGGAGCAAGTCCTGCATGGCCCCAGAAGATGTTTGAGCTAATCCGCAATGCTGTCTACAGGGAAGAGAATAAGACCGCCTCCCCAAATATAGCACCCTCCAGATCTCTTGGCAGACCATTGTCAAGAACCCTACCCGGTAGGACTGTGAGGGCAAGAAAGCAAGGTTGCTTCTCCTTCCCCTAGTTCATGTCAAGAGAAAGGAGCAATAGCACTCCCATAGGGGACCTGGTTTCCTGAAGGTGTCCAGCACATGGTTACTTCCCTGAATGGTAGAACATTGAATGGTGGAGCCCAAGTACTTTGGACTTTAGATGGGACAAGTCCAGTATTAGAATATCCCATCAATGTGTAGTACGAAAGTCATAAACCAGCCTTCCCTAACCAGGGTACCCTCCAGATGTGTCAAGGAATTTAGAGATGGCTTTGGGGAAGGTCTCAGCAAGACATTAAGGAGGGAAGGAAGGGGCAAACTGTTAAGGAAGGATTTGGGGAAGAGATTACCTAGTCCAGAGATAGAAGGAAGCATGAGGAAGACACTCCAAGTAAGCCCCCTTTGATTTTGTTTAGTATAGACAGAAAGAAAGATGGAGAGGCTTTCAAGATGGATGTCAGCCCTTCAAGTGGGCCAGGTGAAAAAACTTACATTGCAGGGAATGCTACTTTATTGTTGTAGGGCAGTGTTTCTCAACCTCAGCAATTTGAAGATGTGTGGACTTCAACTCCCAGAATTCCCCAGCCAGCCTGCTGGCTGGGGAATTCTAGGAGTTGAAGTCCACACATCTTAAAGTTGTCAAGTTTGAAAAACACTGGCCTAAACTGTCCATGAAAACTCTACAGCAGTGTTTCTCAACCTCAGCAATTTGAAGATGTGTGGACTTCAACTCCCAGAATTCCCCAGCCAGCCTGCTGGCTGGGGAATTCTAGGAGTTGAAGTCCACACATCTTCAAATTGCTGAGGTTGAGAAACACTGCTGTAGAGTTTTCATGGACAGTTTAGGCCAGTGTTTTTCAAACTTGACAACTTTAAGATGTGTGGACTTAACTGTCCATGAAAACTCTACAGCAGTGTTTCTCAACCTCAGCAATTTGAAGATGTGTGGACTTCAACTCCCAGAATTCCCCAGCCAGCCTGCTGGCTGGGGAATTCTAGGAGTTGAAGTCCACACATCTTCATGTTGCTGAGGTTGAGAAACACTGCTGTAGAGTTTTCATGGACAGTTTAGGC